GATTTATAGAGCATATATCTTAAAATTCTAAACCCTAAAACATGTTTTGACACCTAAAATCCCATAAACACTCAAAACTAAACCTTAATAGAACATAACTAACTCAAACATAAATAATACAAAAAAAATTTTTTTTTGAAAAAGTGGCATTTTTGTAAAGATTTCAAAAATGTAGTATTTTTGTAAAGTGGCACTTGAAAAGTGGCATTTTTTGAAATTTCTCTTATGAATATTTATGATTATGTGATAGAAAATAAAAACAACTAAAAAATTATATAGTTAAATTAGAAAAGAGTAAATTTTATGTTAGTAACTTCATAAAAACAATAAATAATGTTGTGAACCATCACCTAAGTACATGATTGATAATTGTATTTTATTAATGTCATCGTTTTATTTCTTATAGAGATTTATACTCGTCAAACTTTATACAATATTAACTTAATAATAAATATAATATTATTTTCTTTTAACTCATACAATTTTCATTATATACACTAGAAGAGCACCAATGGCGTCATACGTCAAAAATTTCCATTTTCTTTGTGATATTCTATAACTTTATATTGATAAAATAAATATTCTTATAGATTTTATTTTTATTTTATTTTTGCATGGTTGTGTATATTTTTAAACTTTTAAATTGATATTTCTATAACCTTTCTAACTATTTTTTCCAATTTATATACCTTTTTTTACCGTTTGTCTTTTTATTTATTTTAATTGAGATTTTTATTCTATATGTATTATTTGTTTATTTTATGGCTTATATTATGTCTATGTTTTATCTTAAACTTTATTTCTTAATTATTATTGATAGTATTAGAATTTTTTTTATTTGATTAGTAACTTGACAATTACTTTCCATTTTAAATTTTTTTTCTTAATTAATTTTAATTTTTAACACATTTTTCATCTGATCAATATTAGATACATGTCGCGATCTCGTGAGTTATAATTTTGCTTACGTGTCATGCTGATATAAAAATGCATTGCGGTAAATATTTTTGAGTTTAAAATTTATAACGCCTATAATTTGACAAATGTAATTAGATTCTAAATTATGACTCACAAATATTTAATATTTATTTTAATATTATATTTTATTAAATAGTCAATTTATTATATATATCTCATACTAAAATTATCTTATACATATTATTATATTAGCAAAAAGACACTTACAAATATGAAATTTCTCTTTGTCTTTAAATATTTAGATAAGTTATAATAGAAATAATCTATTTTGTAATATAAAAATTTAGAAATATTACATAGTTTAGTATAACGATCTAA